TTCCAAAGGCTGTAGTGCTTTCCTAGTGATCAGACTGACTTACTACAGGTGAAATTTTGACAATGACTCCCTTACTGTACAATTATCAAATATATTTATGTAATAAACATTATTACGTGTGTTTATTACATATGTTTATGTAATAAACTTTAATTCACCTATAGTGTTTTTTAATATTTATATTTATATTCCAAAGGCTGTAGTGCTTTCCTAGTGATCAGACTGACTTACTACAGGTGACATTTTGACAATAACTCCCTTACTGTACGTACAATAAACTAATCAGTTGAAGAAAATATTACTGTAATTCCCCTAAAGTATTATTTTCGTGTTTCAAAGGCTGTAGTGCTTTCCTAGTGACCTGACTGACTTACTACAGGTGAAATTTTGACAATAACTCCCATACTGTACGTGCTATTGTCAAATATGTTTATGAAAAATTAACTGTAAATGACTGTAACTATTTTTCCACGTTCCAAATGTTGTAGTACTTTCCTAATGACCAGTGTGACTTACTACAGGTGAAATTTTGACAATATCTCCCTTACTTTATGTGTACTATTGTCAATTATGTTTATGAAAAAATTACTGTAAATCACCGTAAGTATTTTTTGATGTTTCAAATGGTGTAGTACTCTCCTAATGACCAGTGTGACTTACTACAGGTGAAATTTTGACAATAACTCCCTTACTGTATATACTATTATCAAATAGGTTTATGAAAAATTACTGTAATTGACTAAGTATTTTTTAGTGTTCCAAAGGGTGTAGTGCTTTCCTAGTGACCTGACTGACTTACTACAGGTGAAATTTTGACAATACCTACCATACTGTACATACAATTATCAAATGTTTATTTAAAAAAAATACTCTAATTTCCCTAAATCATTATTTTCATGTTTCAAAGGGTGTAGTGCTTTCCTAGTGACCAGACTGACTTAATACACGTGAAATTTTGACAATACTTAATAATACTGTATTACATATTAATATAATACTGTAATTCACTAAAAGGGGTTTTGTTTGTTTAAGGTTGTAGTGAATGAACCTGTTCACGTTGTTGCAGCAAATCTGACAGATAATGTACAGCAAGATCAAGAATGCATTAAAGGCATTATGACCAACATGTAATTTTTGCTTCTTGTACAGCAGGAATAAAAGGGTCTGATTGCACAAGTCCGAGTCCGGTATATTTTTTGTATGCAAGGTTATCCAAAATAATGGTTTGTTCAGAGGATGCTGTTGGCATCATCTTTTCTGACACTGACTCTCCTGTCAATCTGTATGTAGTGTAGTTGTCCTTCATGGTCAATATTTTCACATATTAAGTCACATGTGCTGATATAGCCACCAGCCAACAAACTTTGTCCTTACATGACATTTACTTTTATGATCTTTCTCCCCCCTCCAAATTCAACTTAAAATTCAACCAAAGTAACGTAGAAAGTCACTGTTGATGTAAACACTGTTTTATTTGTATTATCTTTCTAATTGTCCATGGAATACAACTGTGATTATACATAAAAGTTGTAATTAATTCTTCATGGTTAGAGTAATATTTCAATATCACCTCTTCATAATTCTGCTGTTGTTGATCCTCTCTTGGTTTAAGTTGTTCTTATATTATCATAAACCCTTTAACTGATTGTTTTGTCACGTCATTTTTACTTTACTATATTTTATTTTAGTGAAGTGACGATAAAATAAAAATTGAATAAAAATAAATGTGTGTGTTTGAATGAAAATATTGTTTTCAGCACAGTTTTCAGCAACAGTGCAAAATATTGGTACCATGCCTTGGATTATCACCAGACAAGCTACCTGGAAAGATGCCCAATGGTTGTGCTCACCTTGTTGCAATATAGATTACCACTGTATACAGTTAAAGACCCAAGGACCAGATACGATTAATTAAAACCAGGCAGTTAGTCAGTCAATTTAAGACAAGAGTCAGAATTATAATAAATTAATGAAAGATTTACTGAAGATAGTTTGTAGTTTCATCATGCAAAAGTTAGCTTCAAGACTCACAAGGAGTTCGTAGGCCACTCTGTTACAGTTACAAAGATCAGCAATTATACCCTTCACCAAGGTCTAAGCTAAATCAACTGATATGACAAGATATGAAGTCTCAAGATCTCAGCACGTCGTTAAACAACTCATCAAACAGCACTTTAAGGCCATTGCACACTGAGTCCCAAATTCACATCTGAAATTTCCGCACGTTAAAAAATAAATACGACCTAACGTTATGTCAATCACGCTTGCACACTGCCTCCGAAACTTTCGTCCGTCATAAAAAAAATCGGATCTGGTTTGATTTTCTGCGTTTTTCGCATCTGTAGTAAGCAGTGTGAATGGTGTTTTGACAATTCAGAGCCACCGAATTACGAATCCGAAAAAACGCATACGACAATTTCGAGCTCAGTGTGCAATGGCTAGTCTTATTCTTATTAGCACTTATTAGCACGTCTACAGAAGTTCTTAAGAGAATTAACAGAGGTTCAGAATTTGATGACTTATTGTTTCGTTTAAGGTCACCATGATGGAGATCAGCGTTTGCTTTAGTTGGTTTCCTGACCCTTGACTTTTGAAGACAAGATTTTCTCTGTCTGCTGAAACTTGTGTGTTTATAAAGCACATTTGTTATGGCACGAAAGTCAAGAGAAAATGTGATCAGATGTTGATGGTTAAGTGTTGACGTCAGTCATCATGTAGTGACCTGATTCAATGATTTCTTTCAGTGTGTAATATCTGATTAAAAAGGGTGACAAATTATAGTTTTATTCAAAACTGTGATTTTACAGCAAAGGGCCAGCAGTGTTACGACATCAGATACAATTAAGGATTTTACAAGCAGTGTTCACAAAAAGTTTTCATCTATGGCTTTACTAAAACTAACATAGACATCAAGAATCAGCATATGAATCTCAACAATGGTGACCATTAAAAAGTGATTCATGCTGCAATGCATGCTGGGTACTAGCATAATACAAAATGTATCCATGGCTCCCAGCATGCATTGCGGCATGAATCACTTTTTAATGGTCACCATTGTTGAGATTCATATGCTGATTATTGATGTCTGTGTTAGTCTTAATAATGCAATAGATGAAAGCTTTTTGTGCGAAAATTGTTCGTAAAATCCTTTCTTTTATCTGATTCTGAATTTAAATAAATAGGCAAACCTAATAATACATCACTTGTTTAATCAGTCTCTGTAAAAGTTCAGTCATCATGTCATTTAATGATGATTTTCATCATTAAAGCACAACCATTGACACCCGATCATATTTTCTTTTGACTTTTGTGCCATAACAAATGTGTTTTATATACACATGAGTTACAGCAGCCAAAGACAAACTAATTTGCAAGGGTCAAGAGTCCAACTAAAACAACCGCTAATCTCCAATATGGTGACCTTGAACGAAACTCAATAAATCATCACCTTCTAAACCTCTGTCACTTCTTCTTGTGTCACTCCATCTATGTCTGACTCTGGTTTGACAATAAAAGGCTAAATGTTTTTGAAATTTTCAGTGCATGTTTGTTTGAGGTAAAAGGACGGAACCTCTTGAGGCTCCGCCCCCTGTGCTGGGAGCAGCAGCTCATTTACATTTCAAGTTTTTCTTTCCTTCAGTGATTGTGCCTGTTAACAGCAGGTGTTCATCACTAATGCTCAATCATTACTTAATTAGTCACTTAAATAATTGCTTAAAATAAAAATTAAATTAAGGTAATCGGTGTCCTCAAATGTAATGAGTTAGCTTAACTTAAAGGATTTGACTTTGTGTGTGATAGTGTGAGCTAGTAGTAACTACAAGCACTTAAAAGTTCATTTAAAGTTTGTAATTTCACTGTTTTTACTCAATATATAATATCAAATATCAAGATCTTTGAATGCAGAAGTTTAATTGTGTATTGAGAAATATCCTTGTTTTAGTGGATTTGGTTAAAATAAGTTCAGAGTACTCATAACTATTGTTTTTTAAACTTAATTGAATTGAGGTAATCGGTCTCAACTGAAATGAGTTTGCATAACGTGTTGGGTTTTACAGTGCACCTCTCAGATTTTCAATACAGAGAATACATGAAATAACATTTTAGATAATCACACTGGTCATTTTAAAACAAAGTACAATCTCATAAGCCTAGAGAATTCATTCAACTCCTTTGATATTTAGAAGGAAAATATTGATTAATACCTTGATTAAATTAGCTCATTAGATATACATTGAAGCAGCAATGGATTCCAGATTTGAATCATTACAATAAGATTGTTGCTTATTTCTAACGTCAAAAATATGATTAAGCTAAAATCTTTACAGTTTTTAATCAATGAACAAAATGTGTTGTACCAGGAACAGCAGTTCTAATACCTACTTTTACCTAATACATTTATCAAAATTAATTGAGTAGAGTGATCACTAGGAACATACTATAACCTTTGGAACATGAAGAAACACTTAAGGTGAATTACAGTAATTTTTTCATAAAAAATATGTATGTACTGTACTTACAGTAAGGCAGGTATTGGCAATATTTAACCTTTAGTAAGTTAGTCTGATCACTAGGAACATTCTCCAACCTTTGAAACATGAAAATAATGCTTTAGGGGAATTACAGTAATTGTTTCACAAACATATTTGATTATTGTACATACAGTAAGGAAGATATTGTCAAAATTTCACCTGGAGTAAGTCACACTGGTCATTAGGAAAGCACTACACCCTTTGGAACACAAAAATAATACTTTAGGGGAAATACAGTATTTTTTTTTAAATAAACATTTGATAATTGTGCGTACAGTATGCGAGTTGTTGTGGAAATTTCACCTGTAGTAAGTCAGTCAGGTCACTGGGAAAGCACTGCAGCCTTTGAAACACGAAAATAATACTTTAGGGGAAATACAGTAATTTTTTTAATAAACATTTGATAATTGTACGTACAGTAAGGGAGTTATTGTGGAAATTTCACCTGTAGTAAGTCACACTGGTCATTAGGAAAGTACTACAGCCTTTGGAACGTGGAAAAATAGTTACGGTCATTTACAGTTAATTTTTCATAAACATATTTTACAATAGCACGTACAGTATGTGAGTTATTGTCAAAATTTCACCTGTAGTAAGTCACACTGGTCACTAGGAACGTACTACAGCCTTTGGAACGCAGAAAAATAGTTACGGTCATTTACAGTTAATTTTTCATAAACATAATTGACAATAGTACGTACAGTAAGGGAGATATTGTCAAATTTTCACCTGGAGTAAGTCACACTGGTCATTAGAAAAGCACTACACCCTTTGGAACACTAAAAAATACTTACAGTGAATTACAGTAATTTTTTCATAAACCTATTTGATAATAGTATATACAGTTAGGGAGTTATTGTCAAAATTTCACCTGAAGTAAGTAACACTGGTCATTAGGAAAGCACTACATCCCTTGGAACGGGAAAATCATACTTTAGGGGAATTACAGTAATTGTTTCATAAACATATTTGATTATTATACGTACAGTAAGGGAGTTATTGTCAGAATTTCACCTGTAGTAAGTCAGTGTGGTCACTGGGAAAGCACTACAGCCTTTGGAACAGGGAAAAATACTTTAGGGGAATTACAGTAATTGTTTCATAAACATATTAGTTTATTGTACGTACAGTAAGGGAGTTATTGTCAAAATTTCACCTGTAGTAAGTCAGTGTGGTCACTGGGAAAGGACTACAGCCCTTGAAACGGGAAAAAATACTTTAGGGGAAATACAGTTAATTTTTCATAAACATATTTGACAATAGCACGTACAGTATGCAAGTTATTGTCAAAATTTGACCTGTAGTAAGTCAGTCAGGTCACTAGGAAAGCACTACACCCTTTGAAACACGAAAAGAATACTTTAGGCCAGGGGAATTACAGACTTTTTTTTAATAAACATTTGATAATTGTACGTACAGTATGGGAGTTATTGTGGAAATTTCAGCTGTAGTAAGTCAGTGTGGTCACTAGAAAAGCACTACAGCCTTTGGAACAGGAAAAAATACTTTAGGGGTATTACTGTAATTTTTTCTTGAACTTATTAGTTTATTGTACGTACAGTAAGGGAGTTATTGTCAAAATTGCACCTGTAGTAAGTCAGTGTGATAACTAGGAACGCACTACAGCCTTTGAAACAAGAAAAAATACTTTAGGGGAATTACAGTAATTTTTTCTTCAACTTATTAGTTTATTGTACGTACAGTAAGGGAGTTATTGTCAAAATTTCACCTGTAGTAAGTCAGTCTGATAACTAGGAAAGCACTACAGCCTTTGAAACAAGAAAAAATACTTTAGGGGAATTACAGTAATTTTTTCTTCAACTTATTAGTTTATTGTACGTACAGTAAGGGAGTTATTGTCAAAATTTCACCTGTAGTAAGTCAGTCTGATCACTAGGAAAGGACTACAGCCTTTGAAACAGGAAAAAATGCTTTAGGGGAATTACAGTAATTTTTTCTTGAACTTATTAGTTTATTGTACGTACAGTAAGGGAGTTATTGTCAAAATTTCACCTGTAGTAAGTCAGTCGGATCACTAGGAAAGGACTACAGCCTTTGAGACAGGAAAAAATGCTTTAGGGGAATTACAGTAATTTTTTCTTGAACTTATTAGTTTATTGTACGTACAGTAAAGCAGTTATTGTCAAAATTTCACCTGTAGTAAGTCAGCGTGGTCACTAGGAAAGCACTACAGCCTTTGGAACGGGAAAAAATACTTTAGGGGAAATACAGTTAATTTTTCATAAACATATTTGACAATAGCACGTACAGTATGCAAGTTATTGTCAAAATTTGACCTGTAGTAAGTCAGTCAGGTCACTAGGAAAGCACTACACCCTTTGAAACACGAAAAGAATACTTTAGGCCAGGGGAATTACAGACTTTTTTTTAATAAACATTTGATAATTGTACGTACAGTATGGGAGTTATTGTGGAAATTTCAGCTGTAGTAAGTCAGTGTGGTCACTAGGAAAGCACTACAGCCTTTAAAACAAGAATACTTTAGGGGAAATACAGTCATTTTTTTAATACACATTTGATAATTGTACGTACAGTAAGGGAGATATTTTCAAAACTGTACTTTGTTTAATGGTTTTAATGTTTTTTTTAAAGCAAATCATTCTTCTATACATCCATGAAGTAAAGAAGTTACTGTTTTCAGCCATTACAGTAATAAATACATTTAGATAATGTAATATTTTTTGATGGAAGGTGTGCCATTGAAGAACCCCATAGGACTTTTGCTAGTTTTTTAAATGTTCACCTGTTAGGGGCGCACAGTCAAAGACTCAGAACCAGATATGAAGAAATGAAGAGCAGGAGTCAGAATTATAAAAAAAGAAAAGATTTACTGAAGATAGTTTTCAGTTTCATCAGCAGAAGTCAGCTTCAAGACTCTCACAGGAGTTCGTAGGCCGTTACAAAGATCACAGAATCACTAAATGAGCAAGCACTGTTACTGCTTTCAGATATCAAATACAGACATTAGAAAATACATGAAACAAACATTTCAGTAATCATACTGGTAACTTCTAGCCTATAACTAAGTAAAATCTCACATGCCTAGATAAGTCATTCCACACATGTGATATTTAGAAAGAAAACCTTGATTATAATCACTCATTACATATACATTGAAGCAGCAGTTTATTCCAAAATCCACACCCTTCACCCCCAAAATAAACATCATGTTTGCTGTCATGCTTTCTGGGTACTTGTCAATAATCTGATGGATTCAGTGCCATGGACAGTGATATTTCTGCAGGACTGTAAACATCAATCAATGCACACGAATTGTGTTATTGTGAGAGTTTAATGTTAATTGAAGATGCTATACAACAGGAAAACATAAAATACTGTTAGGCCATTCTTTTTATTCAGCACCTGGAGAACACTGTTACACTGTAAAGTCTTTATTACACTTAAAAACAGAAAAACCGAGGTGGATAAAACAGCAAGACGTGGGCTGTATGTTCTGTAGGGTCCAGACAAGACCATCCAACTTGCTTTGGAACAGCCGGCCCATCCTTTCAAAACCTATTGAAATAAATCATATGTCATAATTAAAACCAACACCAACACTGTTCTTGTTCATTTTGATTTCAAATAAATAAATAAACATAAATATAAACAGATGTAAAATGAAGCGATTAACTATGTTCAGGAGATTACACATGATTTTCCACTTTCTACAGTCTGGATTGTTACCAGATTACAGTTCATGTTGCCTACATGTTCATTCTTTATTATTTCCTAAACACCTTTTTAAACACCATCATTATAAGGACATTCTATTGCATTAGAACACATAATGTGAGAGATATTTGCTGGTACATCTGTAGTTGGCTAAAATGTAGTTGTCTGTTTGCACACGATGAAAAACAATATAAACTTTTCAGACGGTCCCTATCTTGGTTACCACACTACATTGAATATTCAACAAAGTGTGTATGCATTAAAAATATACTTACCCATTTTGATCGATTGTAGAAAATGTTGTAGTTCACAATCTTTGTTGTCAATATTAAGTAGCTGCTTCGAATCTGAAAAAAAAATAATTCATTGACTATTTAATTGAGAAAGTTCTTTAACGCGAATGTGCGAATATAAAACCAACTTTACCTAAGTCCGTTCAGTGACTGGCAAATTCTTTCACGTGACGTACGTTGCTTAAGTTTTTTCATGACAGATTAAAATATGTTTAATTAATTATTTTACTCATTCAAGATCAGGTATAAAATATTGCAGAGGCTCACAGCAGCATCTGCAGATGAGAGACCAAAGAAAAAAGTATTTTATAATTTTGCAAATATTATGGGAGTTACTTTTGAAAATTTTCTGAACTTTCTGAAACAAGTAGCCTAGTAACATTAAAAACCCGTTAAACGAACGTGAAACTAAACCGTTCCACGAATGATGTATAAATGTTTTTGTGCTAACGTTTTGAGAACGACCAGATAACTTTGAACGAACGCTAACGTTAATGGAAGAACGTTTGCTCATAACTTTGAGACCGCCTTGCCAAAACAGTAGCCAAGTTTCAGAAAACTTTCCCTAGCTGGGCTGTGTCATGCTAAAACGCTTAATTGCCTTGAAACCGTTTTAATTCTAGATTACAAAGCAATTTCTTTGGAGGACATCCACATAGCTGGTTTTCAGTCACGTGATTATGATGACGCACGAAATTCAGATGGAGCGGGCAGGGAGTGAAGAGCGCAATGGACGAGATGGAGGAAAGTCCGTTCTGTACTTTACACGCTATTACAAGAGAAAGATATAAACGTTTAGGTCTGCTGAAGTCAACTGAAACCAGAAGCTTATTGTGGGTGCTCGCAATTCATGACGTGCACACGTAACGTACAAATTACAAGCAGAGTAGGCACGTGATCCAAGGCCACGCTGAAGTTATTTCGTTCTTTGCTTACAAGAAAGAAGTTGGAAATACCTTTAGTGCTATATCTACTGTTAACGATCATCCAGACGCCATCCGCGCTGCTGAGAGCAAATGTACAGCGGTGAGAAAAAAAGAAGAAAGCATATCGATCATGTGGATATGTTTGCACGAACTATGAAATTCACCGGCATCGACATGTGAGGTCATTAGAAGAATTACACTGTTATGATTGATTATAAAGTATAGTTGAGACTATAGACAATATAGAAGACTAGTTTGAATGAATCCCTTTCTTTGCATGACACATTGATATTACCGTATAGAATGTCTCTTTCAGCTATATCTTGAACATAGCCTAAGCATTCGTTTCATGTGTTGTAAGGTCTAGGCTATAGGCTCGCAAGAGCATGTGTATTGTCTCCTTTTGATTTTTTTTTTTTTTTTTTTTTTTTTTTTTTTAACATTCTGCAAGTTTCAGTGCACTGGATTATGATGAAGCAGGTTATTTATTCTCTAGGATATTGTCAGTGATTTTTGACTATGGTACAGCCTTATAAATATCCCGAAGAGCAAACTTCCGGCAGACTTCTGTTCCAACCCTGTTCCAACACACATGCCTGTAATTTTCAAGTAACCCTGAACACCTTGATTAGCTGGCTATTTGGATTTGGTAAGAGCAAAACTTTACAGGACAGCTTTTCAGGGTTGGAGACCCATGGCCTATAAAGGACTAACTGATCAAAAGTATCCTCAAAGTTCCTCAAAAGTATCTTGAGCTAAGTTGATCGTAGAGACCATTGGTGGAAATGGTTCTACGATCTACTTAGGCCTACGATCCTTTTGGGAAACACAGCCCATAACCACAGCCGAACAGGCCAGTCGTCCAGTGCAGTGGTTTTCATTCCTAGTCCTGGAGTATGCAAACTGCACAGAATCTGACAAATCCAGTTTAAGTTTTGTAGCCTCTATGAACTGTTGATATATATATATCAGGTGGGTTTTTACCTCCAAAGTATGCAGCAAAGGGATCTTAGGATCAAGATTGAGAAACACTCATCTGATTTTCCAACACTGCCACTAGATGGTAGTATTTGCTTATTTTAAAGTGAGGTGATGCGCACTTGCTGGAAAATTTACTTCACGAAAATTGACGTTTAAAAAGATGTAAAAATTATTTTATTTAAATAGTTTAAGTAAAAAAAAAAATGTTTCGACATTGACTGTACAGTAATTGTAATTTTAAATAAATAAGAGAGGATTAAGTAATAGAGAGGATACCTGGTCATAAAGTACCATCGTTCATTAAACACTAAACCACATAAAACATGCAGTATTTATTTTGTATCCCAGAACATTTAATATGCAGGCCCTTTTTAAGTAGCAGTTTGCATTATGGTATGATATATTTCATAGCTGGGTGTGTTGTTTGAAACAACGGATTAAACAAAGATTTGGGTGGCTTGAGCCAGCCTATTTCTATGAGTGTGTGCAAATCCACCAGCCACTGTGGTGATTACCAAAATATGCAGCTGGGCTTTAGGATCTCACCACAGAGATTCGCCAGCTATTTCCCCCTACTCAGGCGTCTGAGTGTTTTTATTTATTTATTTATTTTATTTCTCACAAAAGAAGCTTATGATGTGCATATGATCATAGTGAGGGAACGCTTATTAAACTTGCTTGTAAACCAGGTAACCTCGTAAGAAT